GACTGCGAGCCCGAACACAGGAACGATCGAGAGAACAGAACAAAAGCGCCAACCGCCAACATCAGAGTTAAAGGAGACACCACCTCAGAGCCCAGGCACCCCGGAAGGACAGGGAGAGAAGCACGAACTCCTTCATGCCAATGCACTTCACAATTTTAACGGTGCACAATTTCTTTTAGAAACAAAAATGGGGTACCCGAGTGGTTCAGTTGGTTGAGTGCCTGACCTTGTTTTTTTTTTTACTGTTTGTTTAATTTTGAGAGAGAGAGAGAGAGAATGCGAGCGGGGAGGGGCAGAGAGAGAGGGAGACATAGAATCTGAAGTAGGCTCCAGGCGCTGAGCTGTCAGCGCAGAAACCGACATGGGGCTCAAACCCACAAGCTGTGAGATCATGACCTGAGCCAAAGTCAAATGCTTAATCGACGGAGCTACTCAGGTGCCCTGAGGACCTGACTCTTGATTTCGGCTCAGGTCACGATCCCAGGGTCGTGGTATGGAGCCCCATGTCGGGCTCTGTGTTAAGCGTGGAGCCTGCTTGTGATTTTCTCTCTGTCCCTCCCCCCCCAACACCCCCCCAGCCACACTCTCTCTCTCTCAGAAATAGAAAATAAGCACAAGTAAAATAAACACAAAAACTTACCAAAACTGACACAAGAAACAAAATAGGAACCATTAGAAGTCTTGAATCCGTTAAAGAAACGGAACCCTTCGTTAAAAGCCTTCCTGGAGAGGTCTGGCCTGGATGGCTTCCGTGGTGAGTTTGAGCAAACCTCATGGGAGGGACAGCCGCGGCCTTAACACCAACCTGCCCGGTGGGGACAGGCCCTTCCCGAGGGGAGCACGGCCCCAACACAGAAGCCCAGCGAGGACGCCCCAGAGGGCTACAGACCTGCCTTCCTCATCAACACAGATGCAAAAGCCTTAACAGAACGTCAGTAAATCAAACCTAGCAACACATAAAAGGACACCACGTCCCGACCACGGGAAGTCTGGGCCGCAAGGTTAGGAAGCTAGAAACGTGAAAACCTTTGATCAGCATAACCAGCCGTGTTAGCAGACTAAAGGGAGAAAGAGATAACAAGCAAATCAAGGGGGAAGAGGCTGTGTGATCATCGCGATAGGTAAGACACCTGTGATACCCTGTCCCCTCTAAGAGAAGAAGTCTCCGCAGACAGGGACGCGACAGGGACATCCTCAGCTGGTAAATGGCATCTACAAACCCAGCAGCTAGCATCACACTGAACCGGGAACCGTCAACGCTTTCCTCAAGACCGTGAGTCAAGGATGTCCACGACGGTCACCAGTTCCAGATCAGAGTTACAGAAGTAAAAATTGTCTGTGTCACAAGACAGTGTTAAAAAAGACACTGTGAAGCACCAGACTGGGGAAAGGTTCATAGCGTGTAATTCTGACCAAGGCCTTCTACCCAGATTGTATAAAGAAGACCTACAAGTCAATAGTAAAAAAAACACCTCAAAGAGATTTCGAATGGCCAACAACATATGAAAAAGTGCTCAGGAGAAATACGAATTTTATAACAAAAACAGGGTGGTGCTGGGCACGCAGGAAGGTGGCTGAAATGCAAAACCCTGGACAAGTGTGCTGTGCTGCCCTCCTCGCTGCCGACAATAGCAGGGAGCAGAAGCCACGGTTCGGCAGTTCCTCCTGAAGTCAAACGCACACGACGTCCTGACCCAGCAGTCCTACCCTGGGGTATGTACCCCAAGGAAAGGAAAATCTGTCCCTGCAGGAAGTTCCATGACGATGTCCTGGCAGCTTTACTCGTAAAGCCGAAGTGGAAAGCACCCAATGTCCCCCAACAGGAGAATGGAGGGACAGAAGCAGAGAAGGGATGAGCCACTGTCGCGTGAACGCGGACACATCTCAAGAACGGTCAGGGACGGCAGTCTCTGTGCCCCCATCACTCGTGAGGCTCAGGAGACCAACTGCCCTAGAGCAGGATGACAGAAGAGGTGGCTGCGTCCGGGGGGGGGGGCCAGAAGGGGGCACGGCCAGCCTCGCAGGGCGGGGACAGCGGGCCTCGCACACGCACACTCACCGCAACGCGGCGAAATACACACTATCTGGGCATCACACCTCAACAGAAGGAAGCAAAAACACACACACGGGCACAAATCCAACCGTCTCGCTGCAACGGCTGAGAGCCACTCGACCGCAATGCCAATATGCGCGAGGACACGGAGCCACCCTCACGCCTTGCCGGTGGCGGTAAGCGCCCTTCCACACGCGTGTCCGTGGCAGGTCACGGCCGAGAGACACGTCCACAGAAAGAGCCTTACGAGAGTGTCCTCAGCGGCCTGACTCACAATGTCCTCGGACTGGAAACCATGTCCTTCGATGGCAGCACGGGTAAGCAGTGGGACCCAACACGGTGACACAAGAGACCAAGGGAGCCTCAGGGCAGCACAGGAATGAACCTGAGCACGGTGCGAAGGGCTGAAACGTCAAGTCCGTTCCAGCGAGTCCGTTCAGGGCAGTCGTGTGGCCGGGGTGGGGGGAGCAGGGCGGAGAGAGAGGACGGGAAGGGCCTAGTCCCGCCGGGAAGAGGCGTGTGCGTGCCAGGACCATCGCTCGACCGTCCAGACGGGTCTGTCTGTCTAGAAAGTGGGCGGGGCCTCAGCCATCTCAAAGCTGCAGACTCTCTGTTCACTTAACACCACCAAGGACCCCGCAGCTAAGAAACAACACAAACAGATGAAGGGCAGAGTGAGGCCGAGAGCCTCAGGGGAGGAACACGCCGTGAGGACCGGCACACGGGAGGCCCGACAACGAGGCCCCAGCTGGACCTCCCGCTGTGGAACGAAGGAGAGCCGGTGCGGTTGGCTGAGCCACGGACCCCAACGTCCGATTCTTAATCAACATGGATACGTCACCTCGTGTGGCAAAAGGGGCTCTGTACCTGCGGTTAAAGCTTTTGAGGAGGGAGGGTACCCTGGACACGCAGGTGGCTCGATGTGACCACGGGGTCCACGTGAGGCAGGCAGAGCCCGGGGCGAGGTGGCCACGAGCCAAGGGCACAGTGCCGCCTGATGCTGGAGGAAGCCAGGACCAGCCTGTCCCGAAGCCTGCAGATGGGAGCCACCCTGTGCACACCCTGACATCACCCTGGAAGACTCACCTTGGACTCCTGACTTGGGAACCGTGAGGGATCTGTGTGTTGTCGTCAGCCCCCCGCCCCGCCCCGGTCTGTAATCCTTTGTTACAGCAGCAACGCAGAACTCACACAGCCACAGGGTCTCACTGCAGAGCAAGGCGCCCCTGGTCCCCGGGCGCCCAGATCCAGCCATGCCCGCAGCCCATCCCCTGCTTACCAGCTCTGCGCTGAACTCGGGCAGCATCACACAGGTGGCGCCCACCCAGAGGGGACACAGCAGCTTGTTGACCACGCCGTGCACGTGGTGGAGCGGGAGACTGTGGAGGATCACGTCGTCCTTAGTCCATGCCCACTTGTGGACCAGCCCCGTCACCTATGGGACGAAGGCTCGGCCTCAGATGGGAAGGAAGCCACCAGG